AGAAATAGAAAGGCATGTGGAAACTATATGAACACATTTGAGGGTAGTTTTGGAAAATCTGGCCTCCAGTATCTTTTCAAATCATCCAGTGTAAAGGAGTCTATAATTTTTGGAGGCTTTTTAATGAAAGGATTAAATTTATGACTCTCCAGTCTAAAGTCTGCTCATATAACTGATATGTTTGGGCTTTTTCTGCCTAAGAATTTCCGTTGCATACACAGCAGAAAAACAAGCAAACACAATTCTCTGTTATTTCCCTGAAAACCAAAGTCCTTCTTCCTAGCAAGATTAACTTGTCGACTAATCTTAGAGCAAACACTTTACTTTAATCTATCATTGTTTTCTGACTGTGGGTTTAGTGGAGGTCAGAAAAAGAGATTCATTAAAGTGACTGCGCATTTGTTTTTCCGAAGGCACATCGGAAGATTAATGCCTTGCCAAGGAACATAAAGAAATACAGTATTTCTTTTAATACACTTCAGTTAAATAAAGTCTTAAAATCACATGCTTTGGCCCAGATGAGGTGTTTGCAGCATAAGGTACAAGTCATATAATTTCTACTATCTGAAAACTGCCTAAACGAGCTGTCCTTCAGCCATGCCATTTGTTCCACACCTGAGGTGAAGTAACTGGTCCTGTCTCTGATGTAGAGCCATTGGAGAGCTAACTGCCAGTGTGTTTGTGCAAGTCTATTTGCTTATATAAAGAACACATTTCAGCTTCTCCACCCAAGAAATCCGTGTTGATTTTGGATAATCCCTGGGTGATTTTATTCTCTAAAATAAATAAATAAATCTTCCAAACCTGTGACGCAGCCCAGCTCTCACATATTTTGGACTATTAGAAGTGTAGCCTTTGTGTTGGGGAAACATGAACTGACACCAGGCATGGGCAATTTTATGTTTGTCCAGAAGTAAAATAGGATGTGTATTCCAATATTGGGTTACGTGATGTTGGAGTTTCACCTGGCAAGCAGGCAGGGTTGATTGGTGATGAGGAGGGGTTTTGCGTGTGGATCAGCAGACCCCGCGCTGCGTGCTTACCCTTCAGTCTGCCTTCTCTAGGACTGGTGCCAGTGTGGTTTGGTTTGGCAACAAACAAGTCTTTCTGAAGAAAAGTAAAAGTTGTATTAAGCAGCTGAAACAATTTTCTGGGCTCAGCATTGGCTGTCAGGACTTGTTTCAGTCTCAGAGAGATCGTATGTGTAGCTGGCCAGTAGATGTGGGAATCTGAGCATCCTTGGTCTGAGTGGTGCTGAGCAGGGCTGCACTGGCGGTGCTTTGGTCCAGTGCAGTAGAACTGGTCTCTGTGGCCATCATCAATCATAACTAACTCATCCAATTAAACATTACTTCTGCAAGCTGTGCTGTGCTATGGAAACACTAGTTCAGAGGCTTGAGTTAGGTATGATCAAGTCCTAAACTCAAGTCTGGGCAAAGGTGAGGAAGAAGAAGCCCTTATTTTCACTCAACTCTTCATTCCCATCCATATTCTTCCTTCGGCAGCAAAACTGGTTCTGTATAGGCACATCTCACTGAAATCAGTAGTAGTTATACATGTTGCCCTGAATCTCTACACTGCTATTTAGTAGGTAGCTAACAGTAAATTAGATATCTAATGCCTTAAATAGCTGAAATAGCTAACTGTTGTCTACCTTAGCTTGGAAAATGTCAGGACTGGGCTAGACTGTCTTTGCTGTTGTTTTTTAATTGCATTGTAGCAATGTTCAGCATCTTCTTTAGCAGATACTGAATTAATGTAGTGAAAAGCAGCCATGAACCTCATGAGATTGAACAATACAAATAAAAATGTGTTTCTTGCATGGTTTCTGGAGTCTTGTGAACCATGAAAAGTTCTCTAGATGATTTCTACACCTAGATTACCGCCTTTTCCCCTGCTCTAAGCTAGAAATAAGATGAAACTCTTTTAAAAACACTTATTTTCAAGAACTAAAGCTATGAATGGAATGTCAGACTTTAAGAGACCTGCTGATAAATCACTGGACATGGCAGTGACTGAGTAGAACAGTATGGATCTTGTGAACCATGAAAAGTTCTCTAGATGATTTCTACACCTAGATTACCGCCTTTTCCCCTGCTCTAAGCTAGAAATAAGATGAAACTCTTTTAAAAACACTTATTTTCAAGAACTAAAGCTATGAATGGAATGTCAGACTTTAAGAGACCTGCTGATAAATCACTGGACATGGCAGTGACTGAGTAGAACAGTATGGAAATGATAGCAGATGTTTACAAGAGAAAATTTACCTGCTGAA